CAATTCTCCATCAGCTTCCAAGATTTTTTGTACAAAAAAATATCTTTGTTGAGCTTACAGTAGACCTATTGACTGTCAGGATTTTGAGCTCCCATTAGACGAACAAATAGATGCAATAGAGGATGATTATAATTATGAAAAATTATAATTATGAATCTCGTTTAAGTTTTTCAAATTTTTTTCGCACTCTTTGAATGTTTTATAACTGTATTCAATGGGTGAAATCATATGTAAATTTATTTTGTTCCATTAAGCTCATTTTGCTAACTTTGCGTAATGAATGTTTTATAACTGTATTTTACGGGTGAACTCATATGTAAATTTATTTTGTCCAATTAAGCTCATTTTGCTAACTTTGCTTATATCTCCATTTAATTATTCACATTCAAAGCTAATATTACCTTCAAAATAACAAAGTTCGTGCATTGCACGGCCATAGCTAGTATCTATACAAATGGTTATAGAAGAAATGTGAGCTTATTTATAAACTTACTTGGGAAAATCAACGTTGATATACACGTTACAGCTAAAAGTCTAAAATCAGATGAAATTAGACTAAGAATGGCCGGAGGAGACAACCTTAGAAATTTTACAAGCTTTATTAGAGAAATAATTATAGAATCTGGCCCTAGTAGGGATAGCACTTATGAACAAAATAGAGCATTAGAAGAATTAGAAGAGTTAAGTATTAGTAATATGAAGTACATACAACCATTTTTGCTAGATTTTGAAAGATTGGTAAGCACAAGGGGATTAACATTATATATAACTATACTTGAAAGGTTATATAGAAAGATAACACTGTCTTGAAATGATAAAATTAAAAAGATGTAGAATCAAGACCACTAAGAGATGTGACTATTAGCACCACCATAAAACTTATAATTGATAAATTAAAAAAATACTATATAGAAGAAGTAGCAGGAAAACAAATAAAGAAATTAAATTATTCTTTTTGTTCAGATTTACAAACATACGATTATAGAAAGAGGAAATATTTACATAAGACATAAAAAACATAAAAGTCAATATCAAGAAAGAAAAACATATAATAGTAGACCAAGTCGGACATATTATAAAAATAAAATACCTAAGTATAATAAATATGTTAAAATTTTGAAAAATAAAAAGGATTGTAAGTGTATATTTGTAGAGACCCCAGACATTTCACTAACAAATGTCCCAATAAAAATAAAAATATGGAGAATATGGCTAGATTCACGATAATTAAAGAAATACAGTGTAACATTATAGAACTATATGATGGAGAAATGATCCTCTCACAAAATGTAGTTGTAACTAGTGTATTAGCAATATTCTATAAATAATCAATACACTTGGAAAATAATCGTCATTTTTACATAGTCTAAAACTTCAATCATTTGGTATCTTTAGACAAACAGTTTGTAACAATTTGCAGCTCAAAAAATAAACTTATGCTTATTAATATCATAATTCTTGTCATACTTAATTTTTTTAAGCTTATGGCATCAACACTTCAAATAATTATTATATGTAGTTTACAATTTTTTTAAAAAAAGAGCTTAATTAACTATAAATAATAAATAATAAACTCTAAAAGATTTTTAACACAATATTTTATCTCGTCATTAACATTTTGATCAAAGTGCTTCTTTGTATGGATAATACATAAAATGTAGGTTCAACTTTTACTTGAACAACAAATTTTTTCGAAGTAATCTCGACGATTTTATAATCCAGCTTCTCTTTATGATCCTAAAAATTAAATGAGTGTTTTCAAGTTACTAATAGTAACACCAATGGACATATAATCATTTTATAACATTTTTCCCATTGTATTAATAACAAAACAATATATTGTATCAGATAATCAAGCCAAACAAGAACTCAAAAATTATAATTCTAGAAGATAAATTTTTAGTGTTTCTAACTGCCTTCATGTATTCACGTGTTTCCACAAAGTGTGAGAATGTAAAAGTATTTTTTGAGAAATTTTCTTTATTGTTAATAATTATAATATATAATAATTTTTTTGGGGGCCCACAGCAAGGTTAGGCCTTAGGTGATCACTTACCTTGTCTATAGTCAGGATTGGCACTGATGTGAGTTGGACTTGTGAACGACCTTCATTGTATTGCTACAATCAAATCCAATGCATGAAATGTTAAGCTATATTGCAGCTAAAAAATTGAGGCCCTCAGAAATTGCAATACTCTTATCGATGTAAGTTGTACATTCCTTAGCTAATTTTTCCGAAGTGGCAATCATAACTCTCTCGTCATTTATTTAAAAACGCCAATTCCATAGGGAAAATGCACTTATACAGTCATTAAGAACTGTAAATTGTACACTACTCTCACATGAATGTGGAGCACACTAATTAATTAATTAGTGGGCCTCACATTCATGTGAGATGGTTGTACAATTTACAACCTTTAATGACTGTAAATGTAGCAGATCTCAATTCCATATCTCCTGTATCCCTCGTTGATGGTGTGAGGGACATTTCAGTTTAAGAATACAAGCCATTTTTATAAAGTTACCCTCGTTTTTAAAAGGGAAAATTGCAACGGAGGTCCCAAATCTTTCATTTTACTGAATATTGCATTAGGCTTCATTTTGTAGGCCGCAATGTCAAACGTTTCAATTTAACGGCAGCCAGAGAGTCCAAATGACAAATTCTGTCTACAACGCCGTTAGTCAACATATATAAATTGGTGAGTTAAATGAAGGCGAAATTGTATATTTACAATTTCTATAATTAAACGAATTTATATCTCAAACTTTTTGAAAGAATTTTTATTATCAACCTTCTATAATTAACGTATCTTGTCAATGATGACTGCTCTCGTAAAAAATCCTTTAAAATGGCATAAAATGACATATTTGTCCCTTATATATTTTAAATAAATAAATACAAAAGTTCGACAAAATAGTTGTCACTCATTTCAAATAACGCTAACAGAATATTAACTGAAACTACCATCTTGACTCATTGAATGGTGAGAATAAAACGAAAAGAAGTTGACAAAGTATAAAATGTAAAAATAAACGAAGGTTGTGACCTTTATTTCAATTAAATGAACAAAAATGCACTTATCTAATTGCTGGCTAGAGGTCATTTAGTTAAGATAAATGAATTTTAAAAATTACGAATTCGATTTTAGAGTTGAGTACCTCAATTCTTCTTTAGAAATTTCCTCTTCAATCATCTATTTTGAAATTCTAGACGAGCTCTCTTCAGCACGTTTTTATCAAAAAAATAATTTAAGAATGATCGATCCATCTCATAAATAGTGAAATTGTTCATTTGACCCTTGTATAATGGTTTTTGTACATAATGAGTTATACAATAATTTACATATAGAAGTATAAAAAAGAGAATGATTTTTTTTATTTGGTTGAAAAAATTCTGATCCAATTATATCTCACTTACGTAGATGTAAATCATTATGGCCTTGTATGGGAGGGATTAAAATCAGATTAAAATTGAAAATATAGCCGTTATTGTTGACTTTTATTAGACGAGTGGAACCCAATAACCCAATATTTTCAATTTTAATTGGCTTTTAATCCCTCCCGAATGGGGCCTATATACAGATTGACCCTTAAAAATTATGGAAACTGTTCACTTGACCAAATCGAAAAGATTTGTTAAATTAATTAATTTATTATTAGAAATTACGGGTGAAAAATATCTATTTAGAGTTGGTAAGCAGTCAATTATCATAAAATGTCAGCGACAATATATAAAGGCAGCAGATTCTTCGAGAACAAGAAAAGTGGGGTTGTACACAAAACAAAAAAGGTCAAAAAATCGCATAAAAATAAGAAAATATCACTCTAGTCTCTTTATACTCTGCCACTCCCTTCTACTTCTAGGGTTTCCGGTGAATGAAAAAAGGGGCTAAAATTGGACATGGCGCCGACTCGTTCTTGATTTTCTCTCGCACGGCACCCCAGTAACATTCATTTACACATAGATATTGGTACTGGAATTTGAAATTTCATTTTTTGAATTGTTTGATTCCTTCTTTTTATTTTTATTTTCAATTATTTTATGAAATAGAACCTTTCCAATGTCGTTTAAATGTTTCGATTTCATTTCCGTGAGCTTTTTTTTATATGCAATTCGATCTTAATTATGAAAGTACTGGGAAAAAGCAGAGCCAAATTCCGAAGTAACATGAAACGCCATCTTTAAGTTCCTTTAAAAAAAAAAGGTGGTTTACAGGGTCTCTCCTGTTTAATTTTACAGGAATACTGGCTTAGAATTTTTTACATTTAATTTTAGGGGCCTATTCTGGATGAATCATCCTCTGGCAGTATTAGAATTATTTTAGTGATTTTAACAATGAGGAAGTGTTTTCCCCTTGAATCATTCATTGTTTCGAATAGGGGTTGGGTTATGCCTTATATTGAAGTTGGGACCATATTTCATTTCTCGTGCTCAATTTGTTTAGTATATCTGTTGACTGGTGTGTTTCTCCGCATGGAATTTCCATGTTGTTGATGGTTCATTTCATATATTTATAAGCTTGATATGTGAAATTGTACGCATTAAAGGTAACATGTCGTTGGGATATGTTGTAGATAAGCTACAAGAGATTTCGAGCTTTTGGTGCTTGTCATTTTAAACTTTAAGGTCAATGTATGAGTCACTCAAGGTTGAAAGAGTTTATAATTCATGGAACCACGGAGGTTTTCTAGTTGCCATATTATAATGAAGTTTTGATTTACCAGTAATTCAGTTTATAAGAATTATTAGCCCTAACTGCTTCAGAAGTCGTACAAAAAAGAGAGATACAGCGTATTTGATTTGAAAGACAACAATTGTATCCATTATTTTAGCTCCTCAAGGTTAACCAAGTATTCATTTCTGATTTCTTGCATGGTTTTTGGGGCTTTTGGGTCTCTTTGTGTTGTGAACCAGATTTTGAAGCAGATCTGTTTGTATTTTCAGATGTAACAACTGGGAACAATTTATTCATTGTACAAAGGTCTTGAGATTCGTGATAATGGGTGCTCCTAAGCAAAAGTGGACATCTGAAGAAGAAGCTGCTCTTAAAGCTGGCATTGCCAAGTATGGAGTAGGAAAATGGAGTACCATACTCAAAGATTCAGAATTCAGCATAGTTTTGCGATCACGTTCAAATGTGGATCTTAAGGTATGGCGAATAAGGCTTTATCAATTTTGCTACTTTGATTTTGAAGGAAAATCAGTTTTAGTTGGAGTATTCATATTTGATTAAGTGATAATTTATGTATTGTGAAATGACACTGATGTTGTTATTTGGATACGTACATTTTTGCTCCTGTCAGTTCTTTATTGTTTTACTGTTTAAAACAGGATAAATGGAGAAATTTGAATTGCATGGCAACGGGTTTGGGGTCTCGGCATAGGGCAAAGGTTTCATATAAAAGCAATCAAGTGACTCCCAAGATTGCTAAAGACACCATTGTTCCTAGTGCAGCAGTTGAGAATGGTTCAGAAGTGCTTGATGTGATGCCTCTTTCCTCATCTATTGAAACACCACCAGATGATGGTTCCCAAAAACAAATTTCAAGGTTGAATGGCTTCATTTGATGTCCCTTTTATATCCTTATTAACTCTGTTGGCCGAATTGAATTAACTGCAGGCCTCTTCTACCTTTTAAAGTTTAGTACCTACAAGAACAGTTGATACCACGGATTAATCACGGAGGAACTTGTCGATCAATGCCAATTAGTTGTGGTGAACTGCTGAAAGAACTATAAATGTTACTGTTATTGTGACATATATTGGACTAATAACATGTGCAAGCCATTTACAGCATGTTTGGTTAGAGTTTATAAATAATTTTAAATTATGAATAGATAGAAAAGAGTTGTGGATAAGTGGGTAATACTTGTGAGTCCCTTGAAATGTGTGAATAAAAAGTGATACAGTGTTTATAAACATGAGACAAACATAGGCTAAGTGTTTTGGCTTGGTTTGAAGAAAGATAGATATACAGCTCCTCTTTCCCGGACTAGGCATTCTGGTGGGAGAGGCACTGGAGCGTTGTTTGTTTTGTCATTATAATATGCACTCAAGATTTAGCAGTGGGACATGGTTACTGTCTGTTTATCATGACTGGAGTTCGACCTAGCTTGTGTTAAAAAATGATTTCTGATCTGGGTACGAAATTTTATGAAATGCATATCATTGTAATTTATAACCTTATGAAATGCGTATCATCATAATGTATAACCTTTTAGCTTGGAATGAAATGTCTCTATCAATGATTGAATACTGGAAATAATACCATTTGTTCTACATGTTTGTTGATGGGTATTTTGGCAATCACTTTCATGAATGTAGGCTTGATGATCTTATATTGGAGGCCATAAGTAAGCTGAAGGAACCTCGTGGATCTAGTCGGCATGCAATTGCACAGTACATAGAGGTGATTTCTACTTACCATAATAAATAGTGAGACTAAATGTAGAATAATTGCCTTCGGGTTGAAGCGGCAGACAATGATGTCACTGTATTAGCTAGATTTTCCAGTCAATTGATAATCTTGCTTTGTATAACATTTTTATGTTAAGCATCTCTTAAAACACCGTGTATGCTTAATTAGAAACCGGTGGATATTCATGCCAAATTCAGAGTTATCTTCTCTGTGTTTTCTTTCATTTGTTGTCAGCTTAGCTTTCTGAACTTCTGACATTACTTTTCATTTGGTAGGAGCAACACTCAGTACCTCAAGACTTCGAAAAGATGTTAGCTACAAATTTGAAGCTTTTGACAGACAATGGACGATTAATTAAGGTACTCCAGTGGTAATATCCGTTTTTGGTTTACCACATGCATATTGTCAGAACCAAAAGGCTGTTAAATTATTTTTCTACCCCTTTGATAAGATTCTTGAAACATAAACATGCTTTGATTATACATTCCTTCTTTTGCTAGCCTGGGTTGGGGAAAAATCTGGCGCTATACATGATATTGGGTTGTCTCAGATACCCAGGTGCCATGATGATCATCAGCTCCCTGCTACTTAGCATTTAATAATTGAGGGGCTTCTTACTTCTATAGTCTTGAGTTGAATTTCCACCATGATTCTTTGCGTGTTGTGTGATTGTTGTGCGCACTCTTGAATGCATACCTTTACAGTCTAAGCTCAGCTGCATGTGTACGGCTTTAATAATTTTATTGTTGATGAATGATTATTGAAAAATGAAGCAACAATTTGATGCTGTAACACTGACTCTGGACCCTGGAGTAAAGAGAGCTAAAGATTTTTTTAAAGCTTGTATTTGCATTAAAATTTTGAATACAATATCAATTCGAGTTACTGCCTTGCTTAGTTGCTAGTTATTTCCTATATCAAGCTATGGGTGTGCCATTGAGGACACTATTGTCGGCATTAAAACAACAAAATGATAAATTCCTGGATCTGTTGCCTAGAGTTTCAGTTGATAATTAATATCCTACATCTGGATGCACCCCCCCCCCCCCCCCCCCCCCCCCCC